CTTCTTTCTTGCTCTGAGAGTCCACTGAGTTTCTTACTACACAAGCAAGTCATCAGCACAAAGAGCCCAGAGTGATGAGGCTTCTCTAGTGCTTACACTGGTGGTTTTGTTTTCTTCCTTGGCTCATTTATAAGAACTTCCGGGATTATTTAAAGATTGTCATTTTGCCGTTTTCAACAGAGTTTGGCTTAACAGCCTTCATTACAGTCAAGTGATTTCTTTCTGTATTTTACTCTGTGTCTTGTTAGACATGGCTGTCCCAAGGTCAAGCAGCTTCCCAGCTTCTTCTTTAGCATATGATGTCATTACAGCTTTTACTGAGACCTTACCTGATTCAAGCAGTGTTGAACTGACATTCTTGGAGTAGCCTCTGCTTTGTCATTACACATTATTCCTTTAATAAAGAGGTTTGTTTCTATTTATAAGTAAAGTTTATTTCCTATTCTTGGTGTTGTCTTCACTGGAACAGTGTGTGTGTGTGTGTGTGTGTGTGTGTGTGTGTGTGTGTGTGTGTGCGTGTGTATGTTAGAAATAGAAGCCAAGGTCTTGCATACACCAGACTGATTCTATTATTAGACAGGTGCTCTGCCACTGAGCAGCAACTGCAGGCCCACAAATGGACTTTGAACTGAGGATCTCAGCTGTGCTTTCTATGGTGTTGGTTATGAGTCCTGGCTTTCACCAGGACAGCTATACTGAAGTCACTTCCCTGACATCCTAGGCCAAGTGCACAGGAACTGCCAGAGTCGGAGCTAGGATATCACCAGTTTTCAAACCTCACCAGATGAATATGCCACACAGTCAGATCTAAGAGACCTGTTTGGGATCAGGGAAATACTCAAATAGCAATGAGAACCTCTTGTTTGTAGGCAGTGATATGCAACTTGGCTTATCTCTGGTGGAAGAACTTTTTCAAGGGTGAACATTGCTTGTCTTTTTGGTGACTCATTTCTTCAACTCTCCTGTCTTGACTTGGGTCATTTTCTTATTGCTTTGAAGAAATTAGTCATTTTGGTGGTCAGATGACAAACTGGCCATCAAGTTGAAGGCAGACCTTCCTCTCCTATTTCCCTTCAGGTCTGAGATTCCCATTATCTTCTTTTTGACATAGCAATGTTGCTTTTGTCCTAAATTAGATTTGTAGAGCATTAATCCAGTTCTTTTACAAACAAGCTTTACAGAAGGCTGAGGAATGTAGCACTTGCCTCAAAAGTGCAAGGCATTCCCACATCACAATAAATAAATAAACATTCAGAAAAGGCTTTGGATATATTTCCCTTCTCTGCCATAATTTATACTTATATTTATAGTGTTAGGTTTGCATGAGAAACTGTTTAGGCTATTGTTTCTTTACTCCAACAGCTACTTTAGAAGGAATGGCAGGTGCCCTGTGGAGTGGCTGCCTTTGAATCTTTATTTCTTACCTCTCCCAAGGAAGTTCATCAAGCACCCTAAAAATGGGGACGGGGGGAGGGGCCGACGACAGGTGGCTGGCGTATCCCATATGACTAAACACTAAAGGGCAAAAACTTTGCCCTTTCCCTGCCTCGCAGGAATCAGAAGAGCCCGATGAGTGCACTATGAACACTTGTCTATGTCAACCTGATGGCATGAGGCCGCCCCTCAGCCCTCTGCTTTGCCATGTATCTCTGAGCTCTCCCAGAGCCCCCACGTGCTGTCTTGGGCAGTGTTAAAAAGTCCCCTGATAATCTCTCACGAAAAGGCATTCACCTCACTGCCCATTCTGAACCCCAAATTTCTGAGACCCTAACACGGCGGTGCGTCTCTTGTTGTTGGCTTTCTGTCTGGAATAACTTCCACTTTAGTTTCCTCTTTTTGATTTCTTTTTTGTGGCAAGGCCTTGCTGCATAACCCCACCTGGACTGGAACTTGCTAGATAGCCCAGACTGGCCTCCAACTCAAGATCCTCCTGCCTCAGTCTGTGGTGTGCTAGAATGGCAGGCTGGTGTTACCATGACACACTATTTGTTTGTTTATCTATCTATCTATCTATCTATCTATCTATCTATCTATCTATCTATCTAATCTATTTATTTTAGCTTTTTGGTTTCTTAGTAAGTCTCTGGTTACCTTCTTAGTCATTTGTATAGTAAAGGCACTGTAGTCTAAAACTTTTCCTTAGACTAGATTTTGTCATACAGATTTTCATATAAATATGTTTTTATTTTGACCTTTAATTTTTTTATTAATTAAATTTTTTCATTTAGTTTACAATCTGACCACAGCTTCCCCTCTCCTACCTCCCCTCTGCCCCCTTCCCCAAATCACCCCTCCTCCAACACTGTTCGGAAAGGAACAGATTCCCATGGGTACCAACAAGCATGGCCCATCAAGTTGAGGTAGGACTAAGCTCCTCTCCTTGTATTAAGGCTGCGCAAGGCAACCCAGCATGGGGAGCAGGTGCTAAAAGCCATCCAAAGCATTAGGAATAGGTCCTGCTCCCACTGCCAGGAGTCCCACAAGTAGACCAAGCCACACAACCTTCACACATATGCAGAGGGCCTAGGTTGGTCCCATGCAGGCTCCCTAGCCATCGGTCTGGTCTGTAGTCTGTTGAGTTCCCGTAAGTAGGCCCATTGCTTCTGTGGGCTCCCTTGTGCTGAACCTGACTGCCCTGGCTCATTTCTCCTCTCCTCAACAGGATTCCCCGGGCTCAGCCCAGTGCTTGACTGTGGACTGTCTCTGCATCTGTTTCCATCAGTTACTAGAAAGCTCTCCAATGACAACTGGGGTATTTACCAATCTGATTATAGGAGATTTGATCTTTAATTTTATTTATTTATTTTTTAAATTTCATATATGAATATGAATTTACACTGCATTTACACTGTTTTTTTTCCTTTCCTTCTCCAATCTCCAATGCCTCCCATGTTCCCTCCCCTAACTCTGTCAGATTCATGACTTCTTCTCTTTTAATTGTTGTTGTTACACACACACATACACACACACACACACACACACACACACTCACACAGCACAACACATACACTTGCACACTAAAACCCTAGCCTGTTAAGTATTGTTAAGGATAAGTTGTGTAAGATTGTATGTCTCAGATTTTATACTGTTAAAAAAAATAAAAACATTTCTAAAACCATTGGATTGTGATCACAGAGAATTTAGCTTAAGAAAGGTTCTTTTTATTGCATTTGTTGAGGTTTTCTCTGTGTCTGGGAGTATAATAGACTTTATGATTAAAAGAACCGGCTGTTTGCTTTCCGTCCAGGTACCTCTGCTTCTCAGTGAGTCTGGGGAATTGAGTTTGCAGGTTGTGCTCAGGGTTTTCTTCATGTCCCTCTTCATTTTTATTTCTATTTATCTGCTTGCTATGAAAAACAAGTGTATTGATTTCTTCAAATATATATGTATTTATTTTATCAAGTTCCCATTGTTTTTCTAATAGTTTTCAGTCTGTGTGTGAGGCACCAGCAGGAGCTCGATGCCACAGTAAGGGCTTGAAATAGTCATTCATTCATTCATTCATTAAGTCCCCTGACGATCGTGGGAGGAGGATTCGGTGTTCTCCCAGCTTTGCACACACAGAGAGACAGACATAAAAGGCTTGCCCACAGTGTGTGAACTGTCCACTACAGTCTCGCATTTGAACGCTTGGCTTCTGTCTAGTGACACTGCTTGGGAAGGTTGTGGAACCTTTAAGAAATGGAGCCTTGTTGGAGCAAGTGGATCACTGAGGGCAGACCTTGAGCTTTTATAGCCCCTCCCTACCTGATGGTGGATGAGCTGTGACCAGCCCGTTTCCATGTCTTCCTCATCATGGTAG